GGGGTGGCGGCCACAGCTCCCGCCATCGCTCCGATCCTTTCTCGTTCCCCCCGGCGAAGACGCGATCCTTTGGCCCGTGACAAAAACACAGCCGTCGTAGAAACGAGCCCAAACAAAGGCGTTCTTTCATGAAGGAAATCGCGAATGGCGAGTGCAACAGAGCGGCGAGCCTTGTGCCTTTTGTGCGTGCAGTCGCAGCCGTTCACCGCCTCGGGCGTGGCCGCCGCCTGCCGGGCCGAGGGCTCCGTCAAGAGCTTCCGGCGGGCCATCGGCTCCATCACGTTGCGCAACGTGCGCGTGGACCTGCTGGAAGCGCTCAACGCCAGCTTCCACTTCGACGACGAGACCTTCGTCAGCGGCCGGGACATCATCACCGAGGGCCTGCAGACGGTCAAGGCCGACAACAAGCGGCAGAACTTTGAAGCGGCTCAGGACAGCCTGGGCGAGACCCTCCACACGCTGCAGGTTGTGCGCCTCCGTTGCGCCTCTTTACAACTGCCGGGCGGCAAGCTAACTTCTTTGCTTGCCTCTCAACCGGAAGGATTTTTACAGCCACAGCAACTGGGCGGAGAACGGCAACGCGCTTCCCAATTCCAACCTGATCAGACCCGACGCCAGCATCGGCAACCTGGCGGGTAAGGCCGCCGACGGCGCCGGGAAGCGCGGCTCGTCGCAAACGTGACCGAGCGTCCCCCGGCAGATGAGAGCAGGGCGACCTGCCGCAGCTGCGACGGCGATGACTGCAGGAACAACATCCTGGAGGACATCGCCCGGGAGCAGATCCTGACCACGGGATATTTTGCGGTCATTCCCGGGACCGCCAGCAAGCCCACCGGTAAGGCGGACCCGTTGGCCGAATCACGCGGCGCGGCCGCAACTCGGGACGGGAACGTCCCGAGGGCGACCGGGGACGCCGGTCTGATGTTTCCCTGCGCCTTTTTGTCAGCGGCGTCACGCTCGTCTACTTCCTAGTTCAGAAGGGCTTGAAGGTTGAAAGGGAAAAAACCAAGTGAACGGGCCTCACTCGCGCATCGAAAGGTTCTCGTTGCGTGCGCAAGTTCGGTACGGATGCAAAAGCTCAAGCGGATCGGAAGGCACCCGCGCACCGCCGGCTTCTCTTCTCAGGGTCATTTTTGCCAAGGCCAATTCCTCGCCGCCAGCCGCGCTCCGCGTCGGCGGCTCCCGTCCGCGTGTGCCCATTAAAAGCGGGCTTACGTCGGACGCGGCAAACGGACGCGTGCAACAAGAGTAGCTTCGCAATTGTCAGCGTCTTTGGCCGCCGTGTTCAAAAAGTCGCGATCGTCGACAAGCAGATGAAGCGGAAACCGAGCGCAGGCCGTCTAACCGAGGTGTCGAATGTCGTTCGTTGATACCAGCTGCCACGTTTGCGAGGTGGTGGTGGACCCCAAAAAGCAGGCGGGAGGGAGGAGCAGGTTGTACTTGAAGAAGTGCGTTGAAACAGAGAAAACTCAATCCAAAACAAACAAAGTCCAAAGTAGCAAACGGAAATCACAACTGAAGCTCGAACGCAACTGTGACCGAAACAAACCTGACGGCAGCAGACAAACAAACACGACAGGAGCAAAGAGCAACAATGAGCCGCCACCGAGTGTCCTTTGAAAGCGCTAATGACATCATGAGCAACAGGCGTGCAGCTGCAGGGCGAGCCCTACAGCGCCGCCTGTTGGTCCCAAACCGAATCGTGACGGCAACGCCGCATCGGATCGCCGGGCGCGCCGGACGGACCGAGTCGGAACAAACGAAGAGGCGAGTAGGAACAAAGTCCGCAGGCGGGGCCGCCGCAAAGTCGCCGAAGCGAACGGGTCAGAAGCATTTGCGGCCGACGGCGGAAGGAATAAGCCTCGGAAGCCGGAGGACATTCCGGCGCGTCGGAGGAACGTCGTCGGCGCGCGCGTCGCTCCTCGAATTGGGAGCGCGTTCGGCACGATTGCGCATTCGGGGAATTTCAAAGCTTACGTCTCTCGCCTTTTATGTCCGTGGCGCTCGGCGGTCAACTTACCCGAAGGCGGTCGCTGCCGGGACGTCGTCCGAGTCTCGGGAGAGAACGCGGCGGGTCCGAATGGCGAGGCGGCGGCCGCGGCTCACCTTGGAAACGGCTCGCGCGACGTGAGGGTGAGGGGGGGGCCGGGAAAAGACGGCAAACGCGGGCGAAGAGGCAAAAGCCGCCCGGGCTTTGATCCCGGTTGGCGCCGCCCCACGGAGGAAGGGCGGGCGGGCTTTTCGCGTGCGCTCTTTGGAAACGAGGCCCACCGCTGTTTGCGGCACAGGCAAGTGCAGCCACGGAGGAGCCTTGGACCTGACCAGCAGAATCGAGCCCACCGGCGGGATCAACAAGGACACCTTTGAGTCGGAGCACGGCTTCCTGCACGCCGAGGCGGCCGCGCTGGCCACCATGGCGACAAGCGAGATCCTGGAGGACGTCCGACGGGCGGCGGGAAATCAGCCCTTCCTCCAGTGCGCTGATCTGAGCGATGACACGCGCGCGCACGCGCACACGCACCGTAACGCTTTGATGCCTTGATCAGGATGTTGGGCATCTCCAGAGGATCCGGGAAAGCTCTTTGTTTTGTGATCGACACCACGCAGAGCATGAGCGACGACATCGCCGCCGTGCGGAGCGCGGCGTCCTCCCTCATCGACGGCCAAGCGGGGACGGACGACGAGCCGTCGGCCTACATTCTGGTGCCCTTCAACGACCCCAGTAGGCGCGCGGCGGGAGGCGGCGGCTCTTTGCTTTCCGCCCCGACGCCAAACCCGTCTCTGCGTTCGCTTCAGCGTTCGGGCCGCCGATCAGGACGAGCGACCCGGAAGCCTTCGAGAACTTTCTGGACGATCTGACGGCGAGCGGCGGAGGAGACGACGAGGAGCCCAGCCTCTCGGGCCTTCAGGTGCGCGCGCCGGCATCGCCGATATTCGTTGCTTCTCAAAGACGAGCGACGCGACCGAGCGCAAACGCTCCCGCGGCCAAAGTCCAAGCGCTTGCGCTCCCAAACTCTCCCCCGTTGTGTCACAACGCCGGTGGGTTAGGGACACGCCCGCAGTCACAAACAGACGGGGATGGGGGCGGGGACGAGGCTTCGGGGAAGCCGAACGGACTCCTCCGATTGATCTCCACGTTGATGGCGTCGGCTTCGTGATTCGACAGCAACTCGCTTTTCCGTGACTCGGTCGGACACTTTTGAAGGTGTCGGCCAAGTATGTACAATGAAGCGCTTCTTCCTGCAAGTGTACGACAGGGGAGAACCCCCCCCCCCCAAAAAACAAAAAAAAACCAGGTATTACTCAATGTTGAGTCGGAGCCACCAAATCCAGGCACCGTGAGGTCGTTCAGCTTTGCAGGTGAAACAGAAAACGTGACCGCCCCCCCCCGCCCGCCCCCTTTACTCGTCTGGATTTCAGCAACAGCGCACCAAAGAGCTCTTTTGACGGCCCGATCGTGGTGATTTCCCAAATCGCGGGGGGGGGCGGGGAGGAAAGGTCACAGCTTTCGCTCTCTTCTTTTCCACGTCAAGTTGGCGTTGACCGACGCTCCCCGGAGCTCCGACATCTTCCTCTTCACGGACGCGCCGGCCAAAGACCGACAGCTGAGGTCCACCGTCATCGCTCTCATCGAGCGGACTCAGTCGGCGGTGGGCGCGCCTCGCGGAGCGACTTCCCAGATCCCCGCCGCCGACGCGCGCCAATCAAAGGGGTGTTCCTCCGCGCAGGTGTACTTCCTGATCACGCAGACGACGGCCAACGGTCGGCGCCGGAGGCGGCAAAACCGTCCTCAGGCGCCCGGGCGGATCGCCGAATCGGACGCCCGGCTCTACGAAGAGCTGGCCGAGGCCGCCGGAGGGCTGGTGGTCGAGCTGAGGCAGGACGAACTGCAGGAGGCCGTCGGAATCATCGGGCAAATGTCCAGATCCTCTCTGGTGGCGGCGTCGGCCTTCCGTTCACCGCCTCGCCGCCAGGCGGCACGCGCGTCAACCCCGGCGTGTCCCGTTGCTTTTCTTAGGTGACGCTGGCGCGGGGGTCCGGGACTCCGGGAGACGACGGGGACTTCACGTTTGTGGTCGACCAGACCGTCGGCGATCTCCAACTTCTCCTGACGGGGCCTTCGTCTCTCATCACCGTCACCGACCCCCAGGGTGAAACGCGCACAAAAGCGCACGTGCGCTTTCTTGACAGGCCGTTGACGACGACGCCTCGCGCCGCGTGTCTTGGCAGGCGGGCGGCAGGAGTTCAACGCCATGTCCTTACGGCCCGTGGGAAACTTGCAAACTTTGCGACTGCGGCCGCAAGTGGGAAGGTGGCGAGTCGCGGTGCAGTCGCCCAACGCGTACGCGCTGAAGGCCGTCGGTGAGCGCTCCGCCAACGAAATGGAAGGAAGCCTCCGTTTGTTGGCTGAACGCTTCTTCTGCTTTCAAGGTCAGAGTCCCATCGACTTCCTGTTTGACTTCGTGGAGTACGTCCCCTCCCAAAACACCTTCGACGTCCTGGACACGCGTCCTCGGGCCGGTAGGACGTCTTCCGCGACCGCGTTTCCGACGTCGAGGGGCCCGCTGAAGCCGACTTTCCTTCCAAGGCGCCAACGGGAGCCTGCTGGTGACGCTGACCGACGCCGACGCGGCCAACGTCACCCGGGTCGTTCTGGCCGAGGTGGCGGGATCGGCGGAGGTTCCGGGGGACGTGGAGGCCCTGGGCCGCGGCCGCTACCTGGTCCGGGTCCCGAGCGTGCCGTCGGCGCCGTTTGTGGTGCGCGTGGAGGGAAACGCGCCCGACGCCGCCGGAGAGGCCTCCCCTTTCCAGAGGGAGTCGGCGACCAGCTTCCGGGCGTCCAACATCACCATCAAGGCGAGTGGTCGAGGCGGCGCCGTTCCGGAAAAGTTCTGGCAAATCACACGGCACAAAATGGGCGCCTTTAGGCCCAAGCGGCGCGCAACCTGGTGCCCGGGACGCCGCTGTCGGTGCCCTTTTCCGTGACGGTCCGAGGAACGGGAGGGAACGTCTCCATCCGGGCCACCACCAACAACCCGCTCTACGCCGCCGACGCGCCCGGCAGTCTCCCGGCGGAGCCGGGAGCGAGCGCCAACGGCACCGTCGCGCTCTCCGTGCCGCTCAACACGCCGTCCGGCACCACCGTCACGCTGGTGATCGAGGCGGAGGGTCCCGGGGGCGGCGGGGACGTCAACTACGTCGTCCTCAGGATCTCCGTCCTCAATCCGGTGGGTGGCCCGCCGGTCCCGTTCCGCGCTTCCGCCGGACCTCCGCCGACCGCTTGCCGTGCCGCCGCAGGTGAGCGACTTCGCGCCCCCCGCGTGCGAGCTGCTGTGCGTCGTCAGGTGCGTGCGCAACTGCCGCGCGGCGCCGTGGCACCTGTTGGTGATGGTGAGCGACGGCGCCGAAGGGACGGGCGTGGAGCGGGTCAGCCTCGCCCGAGGCAACGGGACGCTGTACGTCAGACCGGCGCCCGACAACCGGAACGTCACCTTGGCGACCTACGACGCCTTGTGCGGCTCGCCAGACGTGGAGCTGCTGGTGGTGGACAACGTGGGCAACGCCGACACGTGCTCCTTCAACGCCTTCACCGCCAGCGGCGGCGGCCGCGCCGCCTTTTTCCTCAGCTGGGCCGCGCTCGCCCTGGCGCTTGGAGTCCTGCAGAGTTTGGACCTGTGCTAAAGTCCCGGAGGGAAACGCTAGGCAGTTGCGGCCGCGGCTTTCGTAGCGCTAAAGTGCGGCCTTTCCTTGAAATTTTCCCCCTTGGGGGCAGCGTCCGATGAATGTTGAGTGTGTGTGTGTGTGTGTGTGTTGTGTGTGTGTGTGTGTGTGTCAAGGTTTAGGGAAGAAAAAACAACCCCCTGCACGTGCCCCCTAAGCAGTGCTTTCTTTTTCCATCCGTCTGCGGTGGATGTCCAGTTTTGGAAAAATGCCTTTTGACTGATTGACTTTGTGAAATTGGATGAATTTGTCGGCGCGCCGCCGATTCGATGGAAACGTTCGATCGCTGGAAGAAATACGCTTTGTCAAAGTAGCTGCTGACCACTGAAGCCCACATCAAAACTTGTGAAGAATCTGTCAGGAAAAGCCTCCGGCAGAGGAAAGAAGGAGAATTAAAAAAAAAAAGAGCAACATTTATTTGGACGTTGCGTGTCATTCCTCAGCTGGGCCGCGCTCGCCCTGGCGCTTGGAGTCCTGCAGAGTTTGGACCTGTGCTAAAGTCCCGGAGGGAAACGCTAGGCAGTTGCGGCCGCGGCTTTCGTAGCGCTAAAGTGCGGCCTTTCCTTGAAATTTTCCCCCTTGGGGGCAGCGTCCGATGAATGTTGAGTGTGTGTGTGTGTGTGTGTGTGTCAAGGTTTAGGGAAGAAAAAACAACCCCCTGCACGTGCCCCCTAAGCAGTGCTTTCTTTTTCCATCCGTCTGCGGTGGATGTCCAGTTTTGGAAAAATGCCTTTTGACTGATTGACTTTGTGAAATTGGATGAATTTGTCGGCGCGCCGCCGATTCGATGGAAACGTTCGATCGCTGGAAGAAATACGCTTTGTCAAAGTAGCTGCTGACCACTGAAGCCCACATCAAAACTTGTGAAGAATCTGTCAGGAAAAGCCTCCGGCAGAGGAAAGAAGGAGAATTAAAAAAAAAAAGAGCAACATTTATTTGGACGTTGCGTGTCAACTCTTGCACAGGACGTGACATTTTGGGACAAGCGGGACCCATTTTCTTTCCTTGGCGTCTATTTACATGTCAGAGGGTGGCGAGATGAGGCGACTCGGCAAATTGACGGCTCGTTACTTCTTGCGACTCGTCGGCCGCTCGACTTTCCGAGCGGGACGCGGTTCGTCCCTTTTGGTTGGCCTCGTCCGTCGGCTCGGCGCGTCCCTCCGACCTTCGAGCCTCGCCCCCGTTTGGACCGAAAGCACCGACGAGACGACGACTCTGGGAGGAAAAGTGGGTCGCGTTCGCTCGTATACCGCAGCGGGGATGGCGTCGCGGCGCGTCCCTACCTCGGGCCGCGTTGGCGCCGCGGCGCGGCCCCGTCAGGCCGTCCCGTTGGCGTACTGCGATAGTTTGTTCTCCAAGTCGCAGATTCTCTTCTCTTGAGCCAACACGGCGGCCTTCAGGTGCTGGATCTCCTCCAGCAGCCTCTCCAGCAGCTGCGGCTGCGCCGGGACGGAGGAGGAAGGAGATGAGTACGGACCGGGAGGGGACAAAAGGGAAGACACGGTGGGGGAGGGGGGGACAGCGACGGAAGGAGAGTTAAAAAAAAAAAAAAAGTCAAAGTAGAAGGCCAGTAACTTGGTGCGAAAGACCGCGAACGGCAAAACACGCAGACACGGCGGACGAAGCTTTGCGTTTTCACGCCGTTTGCCGGAAGCGCGGCAAAAAGTCAAGGACTGACCGGTAGGGTGGCGGCGTCGCACGTGGACATGCTGCGGCGGGGGGGGGCGGCCCTGGAGTCGGCGGCCAAGTTCTTCCTGGACGCTTTGAGCTCGCGGCTCTTGGGCGGCACGTAGCCCCCCTTCATGGACACCAGCACGGGGTCTCGGTCGCGGCCCTCCAGCCACTCCTCGGCCTCCACGGCGGGCTCCGGGCCGGCCGTGTCCGGGTACAGGTCGTCCTGGAAGAGGTCCGACTGCCCGAGGGAGTCGGCGGCTTTGAGCTGGAGTCGGCGCACGCGCGCGCGCGTCGGGCCCGAACGGATGGGGCGGGACTTACTTTTCGGGGAACGGTCATCGTGATGGGCTCGCACTTCTTGTCGTGCAGCTTGTACAACCTTGACGCAAACACGGCGGCGGGATTGGTCGGGATCGCCGCTGCGGCGCCTTCGCCGGTCCGGCGGCCTCACCTGGCGATCTCGCACTTGCTGACGTCGACGCCCCTCTTGGGCATGAAGCCCATCCCCCGCTGCGGCTCTTTGCTGCTGAAGGTGTTGAGGTAGTGCACGTAGGGGGGCTCCTCGGTGATCTCAAAGTAGCGGATGCTGCTGTCTCCCTGCGCACGTCGTCAGGCCGTCAGTCCGCGCCGCCCGCCGCGCGCCCCGCCCGCCCGAGGACGTCGGTTACCTTGCCGCACAAGTACACCATGTTGGCGTCCGGGTCGTAATAGGGCAGCAGGACGCCGTTGCTGGTGTCCAACTCCAACAAGGCCATGGGCTCCTCAAAGCGGCTCTGGCAAAGACAGAGAGCGCGTTTCCTTCGCAAGCGCTCACGGAGACCCCGCGCGACCCCGCCGACTTTCGCCCCATGGCGCGCGCGTTTGCGCCATCGGATCCGGTTATCCCTGACCGGCCTCTCCGTCACGAGCGCTTTCCCGGTCCCGTCGAGCGGTCACGTACCGGGTCCCAGAGTCCCAGCTCCCTCTGGCTCATCCGGGTGAATCCCGTGGTGAAGATGTTGCCGTCCCTGGTGAAGATGGCTCTCATGGGCCGGATGCCCTCGTGAGGAGCCAGGCGTTCCTGGGGGGGGAGCACATTAACGACGGCCTCGGCGGGGGG